AAGTGGTTGTACAAGTTTACATTTCCACCAGCTATGGAGGAGGATTCCCCTTTCTATATATCCTCTCTAGCAGAAAGACACACATGGTATATACTCACTTTAAGTGGATTTTAGACATATAGGATAATCATACTAAAATCTGTACACTTAAAGAAGCTAAGCAAGGACAACCTTGGGTAAGATGCTCAATCCTCATTCAGAAAGGCAAATGGGATAGACATCAGAAGAGGGAGAACAGGGAACAGAACAGGAGTCTACCACAGAGGGGCTCTGAAAGACTACCCAGCAGGGTATCGAAGCAGAGGCTGTGACTCATAACCAAACTTTGGGCAGAGTGCAGGGAATCTTATGAAAGAAGGGGGAGATAGAAAGACCTGGAGGGGACAGAAGCTCCACAATGAGAGCAACAGAACCAAAAATCTGGGCTCAGGGGTCTTTTCTGAGACTGATATGCCAACCAAGGACCATGCATGGAGATAACCTAGAACTCCTGCACAGATGTAGCCCATGGCAGCTCAGTCTCCAAGTGGGTGCTCTAGAAAGGGGAACAGGGACTGTCTCTTACAAGAACTCAGTGGCTGGCTCTTTGATCAGCTCCCCCTGAGGTGGGGGGCAGCCTTACCAGGCCACAGAGGAGGACAATGTAACCAGTCCTGATGAGACCTGATAGGCTAGGGTCAGAAGGAAGGGGAGTAGGACCTCCCCTATCAGTGGACTGCGGGAGGGGCATGGGAGAAGAGGGAAGGAGTGCAGGATTGAGAGGGGATGAGGGAAGGGGTTACAGCTGGGATACAAAGTGAATAAATTGTAATAAATAAAAAATAACTTAAAAAAGAAATACAATTAAAAAATAATAATTAAAAAAGAGGAAAATCTTGAGTATAAGACCAGCCTGGGATGTGAGGGAAGATGGGGGCCAGAGGTGGCTCAGTTGCTGAAGTGTTTGCCCTACATAGATGAGAACCTGAGTTTATCTAAGGACACAAGTAAAAAGAAAAAAGCTGGGAGCCAGGGGATGGTGGCGGTACACACCTGTGACCCCAGCATTGTGGAGGCAGAGGCAGGTGGCTCTCTGAGTTCCAGGATGGCCCTGAGCATGTTGGTGTGGGTATGGTAGTGTGCACTTGTAATCCCAGCACTGGGGAGGCAGAGAAAGGATTCCCGGGCTTGCTGGGCAGCCAGCCTAGTCTAATTGGTGAACTTTAGGCCAGTAAGAGACCCTGTCTCAAAAAACCAAGGTGGGCTGGGCAATGGTGGCACACACTTTTAATCCAAGCACTCAGGAGGCAAAGGCGGGTGGGTCTTCCACTTTGAGGCCAGCCTGGTGTACAGAGCAAGTCCTGGACATCCAGGACTACACAGAGAAACCTTGTCTCGAACGCTGATCCCCCCCACCCCCGCCAAAAAAAAATATCAATCAAAACCCTCAGGGTGTTCAGTACCTGAGTGTGCTGGTTAGTTTTGTCAACTCCACAAAAGCTAGAGTCATCAGAGAGGAGGAGCCTCTCTGATGCAAATGCCTTCATTAGATGTGATTGTAGCAAGCCTGCAGGGCATTTTCTTAATTAGTAATTGATGTGGAGGACCCAGGTCATTTAGGTGGTGCCATCCATCCCTGGGCTGGTGGCCTTGGGTTCTATAAGAAAGCAGGCTGAGCAAGCAATGATGAGCAAGCCAGTAAGCAACATCCTTTCATGACCTCTGCATCAGCTCCTGCCTCTAGGTTTATTCCCTGCTTGAGTTCCTGTTCTGACTTCCTTTGCTGATGAATTGTGATGTGGAAGTGTAAGCCAAATAAATCCGTTCCTTTCTGACTTTTTTTGGTCATGGTGTTTCGTCACAGCAACAGTAACCCTGACTAAGACACTGAGGAGCAATGCCTAAGGTTGTCTTCTGGCACCTATACAAGCATGCCTGAAAACACATGAACACACACATACCATCCCACTAAAAACCAACAAAACCCAAATCCAAATACCACCACCAGAACTCCAAAAGTAAGATCTCTGGGCTTGCTTTGAGCTTGTTTGTGTGGTGTTTTTTATTCCTGGCAAGGTGGCATGCTTAGCCATGACTGTCTAAGGAAGCATGTCCATGCTCTAATATCTGGCACCTGTGGTCATGACTGTTTGGCACTAGGGTCTTTGCAGACGTCAGCAGACTGAGGAACTTATGAGGTTATCCTGGATTAGGGTGGGTCCTCATCCCATGACTGGTGTCTTCAGGGAAGGGAGAGGGTGATGAGGCATGGAGATCCAGAGCCATGTGACCATGGAGCTAGAGTCTGGTGACTCACCCATCAGAGAGGCTTGCAGAACATGAGAAACTGGGAGACATGGAATGGGGTCTTCCTGGGCTTCCAGAAGATGCCAGCTGTGTTGACCCTGAGCTTTTACTTGTGGGCCCTACAGTCATGGGTTCCACCCTGCTGGGAGTGTTAGCGCAGCCTGGAACTAAGGCAGGGAAGGGTCCTCTAGTCTAAGTGTGACTTCTCACTTCCAAACAGTGGGTTGAGAAGGTGGGTCTAGCGAGCTGCTGTGTGTCTGGATGAGTGTAGCTGCTATCAGGAAGGGAGGTGAATGTGGGTGTGGGAGCATCAGAGGAGGGACAGGGCCCAGGCCAAGGGCCGACATCATACCTAGGGTCTGTGTGGCTGTGGGTAAGGCAGAGGGTCTGGGTGACAGAACCATGAGCAGGGCAAGGCTCTATGGCCTGCCTGGAGCAGAGTGAGGCATGCAAGCTTTTCACTGGACATTATGTGCCCCAGACTGAATTCCTGGGAACCCCCAAGCATCTAGTGATGCCAAACCCACCTTCCTCTGGTGAAAAGCACTTTAGGCCTAAAGGGTTCTTTCCCAGCACCCTGAAGAGCCATGAAGAAGCACACAGAAATAAAATAGGCTTTTCTCATCTGTCTGCGTGGGAGGTGGTCTTCCCCTCCAGTGAGGGACTCAGATTGCAGGCAGGCAGGATGCTGCCACCTGCCCTACCTTCCCCTCCTGCCTGCAAGTGGGCAGATGTGTCACACTGATGGATCTCCAAGGAGACAAGTGACAGTAGTTGATCTGCAGGGGACACCTCCAGCCTCGAGGTGGTGACACAATAGGAGAATGGAACGTGCCTGGCCCCATCCATCACAGCAGCCACAGGATTAGTTTTCTATTGTAGAAGATTCCAGAGAGAATCAATTTATACAGAGCTGGGGAATACATGCTTGGTGAGGTGCCTTGCAAGCATGAGGACCTGGGTTCAATGCCCAGAACCCACACTTCTAATTGGAGGAAGAGGAGGAGGAGGAGGTGGAGGAGGTGGAGGAGGGCGAGGAGAAGGAGGAGGAGAGGAAGCAGCAGCAGCAACAGCAAGCAGGGAAGCAGGTGACACTGAAAAGGTGGAGAGGATTCCTGGAGTTTGCTGCCATCCAGCCCGTGTGGCCAAACCAGGGAACCACAGGCTCAGAGACGGCGTTCTGTCTCAAAACCAAATGACAAAAACAACTGGAGAGTGACTGAGTAGTGACAACCATGGCTAACCTCTGGCTCCCACTTTTCACATATATGTATGTATGTTCACACATATATACAAAGCATGATGACTAGGAGCCACCTAACTCTCCCTGCTTTGAGGCCATCTTTCTGAGTTTACTTAGAGTTTATTTTCTCTCACCTGAAGCCACCAAGACATGCAAATGCCCACATGTCCAAAGCAGGGCTGCTGTGGGCATGAAGGAAGCTGTGAGGGTGGATAGGTAGTGCCAGTCACACCCATGTGATGTGAGTGCTAGGCCCACCTGAGAGCCCAGACAATGCTGAGGGATCTCAGTGGGGGACTACAGAGGCTTTGATGACCAGGCCTGGGGTTTGTGCTTCTAGTTTGGGGCTGGAGCTCCAGATGAACCTAATATGTATCCATGTCTGTGCGCTGCTGCCTCACATCCTCCTTTCCACCCCAGCCTGGGACCTGCACCTCTGCTGTCCAGATTTCAGATCAGGATGGCTGCACAAGGCCAACCTCCTGTTGCCTCATCTGGATAATGGGGGATGGCATGAGGTACCCCACCCCCACCTGGGTCTCTTCACCTCTGAGGGTCTGGTTCTTGACTTGGAAACACAGGGTAGGCAGGGAGCCAGCTGAGCCTCCAGACAACCGCTGTTCCTAGACTCTGTCTATCCTGAGGTCACACACTCCCTCCTGTGCATCCTTCCCTCGAGTTCCTCCTACAGACCAAGACTATTCTAACATATGAATGTCCACACAACCAAACAGAGCTGCTGGGGGATAAGGGAGGCTACACACAGGCCTTGGCTGATGCCCAGTGGTGAGCAGACTCCAAACCCACTCAAGGGACCCCAGAGCCTTCCCAGGCTCAGACATCATGGCTGGACTTCCAAGGAATTAAGACAACCACAGGCCAGAAGGGGAAGTAGGCGCTGCTCGATGCCAGCACAGGGCTGGGCCTCATGTCTCCTGTAAGGACTCAGAAATGAGGTTGAATGTCTAGCTTCTTTTGGGTTTGCTCTTAAGACCTGTAAGGCTCCAGGCATTTCTGGGCTACATTCAAGCTGGGGCAGAAGCTATGAAGACCCCTAGGTCCAGATATTTCCATGTTGCTGTACATTGGTATGCGTAGGAATTGTGACCACCAGTGTCAACTGACTGTCATAGGTGGGGTGCCCTTCTTGCTCCCCTGGTCTCTGAAGCCACAATACAGAGGCTTCCTGACCCTCCTGACAGGCAGGGCCACACCAGCCCGTATCACATGTGCAGAGCATCAGGCTTGGAGTGGCTAAGGTGGAGCAAACCTAAGATGCTGTCTTCCTCCATGGGTAGGCCCTTCCCAAATAGAGCTGCTCCTGGAATGGCCCCAGCAGAACTGGGGATGTTGGTGATGTCTCTGGTCTTCATGTCCCACCTGAGCGGTGATGACAGGTCAAGGCGTTTGATGACCCTCCCCGTGGCACAGTCTCCTGTCATGGTGCCGAGGAACAGCAGCTACACTCCTGGGCCATTAGTTTTGCTTTTTATTGCCATGTTCCAATTTACAGGGATGTTCTTCCTTTCATTCCTCCCATCAGGTTCAGCCCCCACAAAGTATAAGGCCTGCTGGTACTCCCTTGGCCAAAGCTTTCCAGATCTGTCCCCCTTTTTTCCCTCACAGCTTCAGCTACAAGGGGGCGGGGGGGGGGAAGGGAAGAGGCATTTAACCTGCCTACTGTCACTGTGTGAAATATGTTTGTTGCATCTACAGATCAGACTTGGTTTACCCATGCCTTACTTACAACTGCATTTCAGAGGCTGTAGAGAAAGCAGGCACCTTAGGAAGGATGCAGTCATCTAACACCTGGCAATGCAAGTATTTGGGTGAGTGGGTGGCTAGACTGGGTGCAGTATAACAAGAGGGGTCAGCTCTGGAAGCCTCTTCCCACACCTCCACCATATAAGGAGCTCCCCACTACACTGGGTCTGACCCAGTGCAGGAAGTCCCACCTGCCCAAGCCTCCAAATGGGAAGAGGCATCACTGCATGTCTCCATGGTGATAGTCACCATGGTGTTTAGTGGCCAGCTCTGATAGTCTGCCCCAGGGCAGACATGGTGTGCATTGCCTTGGAGATGGGACTAAGGGTTTTGGAGGCTTACTGGGACCTCCAGGTCAGCAGCTGTGGGCCCTTCTGGACCTGGAATCCTTCAGTTCTACCTCTCACTGGTGATTGTGGTAGACTCAGTATGTCTTCTCTGTCTAGGCCTGCCTGGAGAGGACAGTTGTCAAGTTCACAGGGTGTTCCTAAGGACAGGGTTGTGCCCATTGCCACCAAGACCTAGGTGAGGAAGTGTCCTTCCTCAGAGCCCTGAGGCACTGCTGCTTCCTCTGGGATGCCCTTCCTCACCAGAAATGGGCCAAGGAGCTCTGCTCACAGGAGACTCTCACTTGCTTACCTGGATCAAGTCCCCAGTTACACTGATGTGCTGGTTCTGACCTTCTGGTAGAGAAAAAAGTACCCTGAGCCTATGGGGCTAGTGGTAGTGGTGGGGTACAGGGATCTGGATGTAGTGGGGTGAAGGAAGAGGCCTCTGGGTGCAATCTCACAAGCCAGCTGTGGGGGCAGCTTGTTCTTGGTGAATTTTGGATAGCTACTGGCCTTCCAGGGTTTGCTGACCACCTTGGCCACAGTCTTTTCCTTTCCTTAAAACCTCCTGTTTGCAGGGAAGAGGCTAGTCACAGAGGGGTGGTGCCTACCTGCATAGGTGGTTAGGGTGGCTGCAGGCATTCCTCTCATGGCCACACTGCAGGGTGGAGAGTCACTTGTATTGTATAACATTTATGCTACCTTAGCAACTGTCATTTCAAAACCCAAAGTGCACAGCTGTGTTGAAGACAAGGCTAGCCTGCTCCTCTGTCCACCCCTCCCTGCAAATGACCGAGAGACACTCAGGGTTGGCTGTGGGGGCCCAGAGAGCCCTTCTTTCCAGGGGCCATCACTCTTCTCCCTTCCCAGGGGCTCTGCTAGATCTCCTGCCACATCCTTCTTTGCCAGAGCCTTTGGACCCTTTGCTCCAGGCCTGGTTGGCTCATTTCCTGACCCAGCCTTCTGCTTCAGAAACCACCACATGTCTTTCACACTGAAAGCATGGTAGGCATGCCCATTGTAGTGCTTTTAAAGACCAAAGAGTCCAGGCCACTGGACTCCCCTCCCAGGGAGTACTAGTTTCCCTTGAAAAACTGAGCCTTGAGCCTGTAGAAAAGTAGGCTTAACTGAGGTGTCAAGGACTAATGAGGAGCAGATGGTGACATGTCCCAGGGTATCCTCGAGGCCCGAGTTTGGTGGATACCAACACTGTGTGAGATCACACCTCTAGGAAAGCCACAGAAGGTCTTCCATGGAGCTGGGGGTGGTGATCCGGCTGGTGAGTGCAGAGGAAGGCTGGGGACTAATGGGACAGATTTGGGTCCTTGCTGGCACATGGGCTAGAAGTATGGGGTTTTCTTAGTGAAACAAGTTGTGCGGTGGTGGCAGCAATGGACAGGGGAGGGAAGATTCTGCTTTTGGTCACATGTTTTTCAGCTGGGCCCCTGGCTGGGCATCCGCATGCACACTGGGAAGCTGGTTAAAGCTGAGGATGACTTAAATCCTTTGATTCCTGTCATGGACACTGGGAATAATGGATATTTCTTGGATGAAGGGAGAAGGTAGCAAGCCTGATGGAAGCTGTGACTCTGTGGTATCCTGAGCAGGGAGCAGAAGTCACCTAGGTCACACAGAAGCTTCTGGTCTCTTCACTCCATATGGCCTGAGCATACTCAGAGCTCTCTCATTTTGTTCAGAAGCATCTCAGTGTTCCAGGGAAAGACTTCATCATCCCACAAGCTTGTAGAATTAGGGACAGAGAAAAAAGAATCACTCAGACAAACAGAGGCAGCAACACCTACAACTTCAGAATAAAAACAGAAAGTTCTAAGGAAGGAGAATCTTAACAGCTGATGCTTCTCATGTGACACCAAGCCTTATGGTTGAGGACTTTTTCTTTTTGCCCCTCCCCAAAATAGTTAACTTTTTAAAATAAATCTCTTCATCTGTTGCCAAAAACAGAAATAAATAGCCCAGAGAGATGTTTATCTAAGTTTGCTTTTCTACAGATTTCTACCCAAAGTAACCTTGTCCACGTCTGTGTACACTGTGAGTGAATACAAGAAAGCTGCCGGAAGGAGGAGGGTGCCAGTGGGTCCTGCCACTCGGGGCTGTCAGGATCGGAAAAAGGGTCCCAGGCCCCTCTGAGGTGGCCAGTGTCATCCTCTGTATACAGAAGGCTGTCTCCAGGATCACAGCTTGCTCAGGAAGAGGTCAGAGCAGACGAGAAACACCAATGGTGCATGGCTGTCTTGCCGGGAGAGGTTTCAGGGACTGTTTCCAGGGCTGTGGAGAACAGGGGTGCTCCCGATGTGTCTTGTGTCACAAACTGCACTGGGTCCCTACCAGCGGGCCTCACATACAAAGGGAGATCCCTGGTGTATCCCCTCAGTGCTCTGTGGGGTCTGTAGGCTCTGGGCATACAGTACCCTCATCTGGGGTCTCAGCATCCGCTGTGGCCAGTGCAGGGAACTGGGGGATGCCAGTGAGGGCTCGGAGGCTGTGGGGATCGACTGGGGGGACAAGGGTCAGCGACTCAACACTCAGCGTGTCGGCAGTGTCCTCGTAGAGCAAGGAGATGGTGGGCTGCTGGGCCGGGAGGAGGCTGGGGGACAGCTGCAGGGTCTCCGTCTCGGAGCTCCTGGCCAAGTTCTTGCTGGGCTTGGAGTTGACGTCCACTTCATCCACAATCACCGACTGGTCTAGAAGGTGAGCCTGAGGCTGTTCTGGAGTTGTGGGGGCATCTAGGTGGGAAGGAAAGCAGAGATATTCTCAGCTCCGTTGACACTGTAATCAGCTGACACCCGCCACTCCTGTCCTGCACCGAGGTGGAAAAACCTGTGGGGAGACTGCTGGCATTAGGGACATGGCTAGGTTCCACCTACTTCTTTTTGGGACCCAGAAGCTGCTAACTCTCATCTTACTTAGGCCTGGGGGTAGTGTGTCAGGACCCTGGGTGCCTGACTTGTGATAGCAGGGGAATACTCAGGCCTTGTGTGAAATCAACACTTGAATACTGAAAGTGAATATTGGCCTGGGTAGGCTTTGTGTGAGGGCAAGTCTGGATCAATTGCCTGATGGTAAATACTTAAACTGAAAGCAAACAGGTTGGGGTATATCTATAATTCCAGGCTATTTCCAGAGGCTACATTTGCAGATACTTGCCAAGGAGTCCAGTGCAATAGTTTTTTAAAAAAAATGGTAGAACTTTCTAGTTTCTAAAATCTTGCACTGTGGTTTGCCTCTGCCTTCTGTAGGCACCGAGTTAGCACCCACCAAGGGGATGGGCTTGCCAGAAATTTGTCAGAAGTTTCCTACAAGGGCCATGACGAGGAGCCATCAGCTTCCACCAGATTAGAATTGCTGGGTTTTGTTGTTGTTTGTTTGTCTTGGTGCTTTATTAGACAGTGGATAGATGCCAGCCACTTGCTTCTCTATGATACTCAGCCAGGAACATGTGGCATTCAAGGGAAAGCCAACCACAACTCCAGAGGCTGGACATCTGGACACAGAGAGGAAGTGCTGGGAATCCATTCATATTTGTATGGATTTCAGTATTCACAGGCCTCAGCGGAAGATGGCAATTATTCAGCCCTGAAGCTGTATGAGGGGACTTAAGGAGCAGATGGGATGTAGTTTTGGTTCAATGTCATTCTTGTTGATTTCATTTCTGTTTTCTCATTTAAGACAAAATAAAACAGAAAAGCGAACCAAACATAGAGCCAAAGGATGGAAGAACGAGGATCAAAATAAAACCAGGCAACATGAAGAATAGGTGGAGCGCAGAGGAGCCACAGGTAAGGGAGAGGCATACCAACTCTCCCAGCACGTGCTGCCTTCCTTTATTCTCTAGTCTCTGGGACGATGGAAGGGCCAGTCAATTCCTTCATAAGAACTTTGTTTTTGTTTTGTACTGCTGGGGATGGAACCCAGGGCCTCAGTCACAATGTTAGCCAAATGTTTACCACTGAGCGACTGCCCAACCTGTCCTTTCTTTAAAAAGAAAAACTAGAAGAGGGAGAGAGCAAGCAGAAGGCTTTCTAGAAAAGCCACTCCCCGTGCTGTGCTTAGGGCACATCCTTGCTTTTGGGGCTGTGGGTGCTGTGAGAACTGGTGCAGAAAGAGAGGGTGTGCGCTGAGCTCGGAAGCGTGTGCTCACTACACCACCAGTGCTGCTTTCTCTGCCTTCCACTAACTGCTCTACTGTACATCGATGCTTGGGAGCTGGACTAGCTTCAGTCAAGTCCCTCTTGGGGCCTTGTGAGAACCTGCTGTCTTCAAGTGGCACTCAGTAGCTCAGTGACCTCTATGAAAGTCTTGGAATAGGTCTGAGCCTATCTTGGAACTCCTCCATGAGGGGTTCATGGCTAGGCAGCTTGGAAATGACTCACTCACTCACTTGGAAATGATTGCAAATGGAATTGTCCTGCCATTGGTGTTGGGGGTAGGGAGTGGGGAGCAGAAACATTGTCTTCCTAGGTTTTAACCTCCTTCCTAGTTCTGTAGTGGGGCTTTTTCTAATAAGAATAATCAGGAAGGCAGGAAGACCATAGTCAAATCCATCAAAAAAAGTAAAACAACTAACAATATCAAATATACAATGGCTGCCTTTAGAAAAGTAACTTTTAATTAAAAGGGCTGGGTTTTTTTTTTTTTCACCTTTAAAAATACTCCCAGCCAGTTTAATAGAAAAAGAGAATGCCATCTTGCTCCCACCTACAATTGCTGTTTATACTAGGAACTACTTCTTGAAAATGGGCAGCAAATTCATCTGACCAAAGGTGAAAAAAAGAGAAGCAGGCAGGTTCCCCAGGGAAGGCACTGCAAGGGCACACTCTGCTCAAAGGCTGAGCAAAAAAGGTGACTTGCTGGGTCTTGGCACCTCTGTTCTGCTCAAGCCCCTCGCATTGGGCACTGAAGAGGAGGGGTTTAGACATGGCCTGGAGAGGTAGAGAGCCACAGCAAGAGTGGCAGCTATAGCAAGCTTGTGTTCCCAGCAGGGTTGTGGGGTCTCCAGCCTATGAGGGTACTAGGAAGTGCCTTGACTGACCTTCTTAGGCATGATCTACAGCTTTAGGGCAGGGCTTTACTAGTCTTTGAAAAGTAAGTGATGGCTTCCAGAAATGATGTGGACTGGTTGTACATGGGCTGGAATGGCAGACAAGTGCTTTGGGAAGGAAGGAAGGACTCCACAGAGCAAGCTAATGCAAAGCTCAGAGGGTCAGCTGGCGAACAGAAAGCAAAGTGAAATTCCTGCTGACATATACTATCAGCACACGGACATGTCAGCAAGCATTGGCGAAATGTCCCAGGATGGTAGCAGCAGTGGCCCTGAAAAGGAAAGCCCGGCTCACCTCTCCTGGTGACGCTTAAAGTGACTGGGGCACTGGAAAGATGGCATCTACCAAGGAGGTAACACTGGGCCTGGATGACAGCTGCATTTGCTGCTTAGCTTTGGCCAAGGCCTGGGAAAGAATATACTAGGTTGTCTTTACAAGCTCTCAATTCCCTAGTCAATAGTAAGCTGAGTGGCAGGGATCTGTGTGGACACATGGGACACGACCTCCAGCCCAGGGCTGACTCTGGCGAGGCCACACTGAGCCCCATTGCTGGACAAGTGCAATGCTCTGGGATACCCAGGAAGGACTGACCTGGGGCAGAGGACTGGGGAATGTGGCCTTAGACAGAGGACAGAAAGGGAAAGAACTGACTTCAGGGAAGTTGAGATCCGGATAGTGTGCTCGCCAGGCCCAGCTTGCCCACCCTGCCCATGCCAACCCTGTTGCATGTGGCAGGAGTATCATGGGCCCATGGGGCTCCTGAAGGAAACCTGCCTGATTTGATTGTGCGTGAGTTGCCGTGGCAGCTGCTGGTCGAAGCACTAAACCCAGTGGCCGCCGTGACTGTCGGCCTCCGATAGGCTGAACACTCGCCGGCGTCCTTTCCTGCCACTCCTGACTAGAGGGAAAACACAGTGACAGATCATAGAAAGCCTGTAACAATGGAACGGCGAAGGGGAGGTGGAGAAGAAAGGGACATGGCAGTGACAGACAGTGAGTATTAGCAAGAACAATGGGAGAAGGGCTGTGGTTGGAGTGTACTAGCATTCAGCTGGTACCCAGATTGCCAGCCCACCAAGTAGACAAGACACCTCCATGCTGTCCCCCAAGATGAGCCAAGGTCAGGAGATCTAAGAAAACAAATTGTTCATTTATGAAACTTTTCTTTCTTCTTTAGACAGGGTCTCATAGAGTCAAGGCTGGCCTCAAACCTGCTATGTAGCCAAGGAGAATCTTGATCCTCCTGCTTTTGCCTCCTGAGCGCTGGTGTTACAGGCATGTACCACCAGGCCTGATTTCTGTGGTACTGGGGACGGAACCCAGACTTTGTGCATACCAGGAAAGCACATGGCTGATTGAGCTCCAGTCCCTCACTCATATAACGTAATATGGTTAGAGACAGAGAAGGTTCAATCCTGTTGCAAAGATTTGGGTCACTGATAACTTCTGGTCTTGTCAGAAAAATCAGGGGTCAAAGGGACAAAACTGCCTGTCAGTTTTATCTGGGACCTGCAGAAAGATGGAAAACAGAGGAGGAAATGCCTGCAGGAAGGAGGGGCATGGTCAGAGCATCAGAGCCAAACCAGAGTGAACTAAGCATTTCTGACCCTGGGGAGGGAGACATGGAGGGATCTGCTTTAAGTTTTAAGTAAATCCTGGTGTCCTGACACCTGCCTTAGATTCACAGTGGTATTTTGAGGAGGACAACTTGGAAAGCCCCATCTTGGAAACCAAGAATCAGGGCACAGAGCAGGAAATGGGGAGACTAGGCATCAGTGGCTAAGTAGGAATGCACAAGCTGGAACAGGAATACAAAGAATGGCTCATGGTGTTGTGGGGACATGGTCTCAAAAACAAGCTGTAGGAGTAGAGCTAAGATAACGCCACAGAGCACAGTGGGAACATGGTAAACACTATGGGATGCCATGCTATGGACAGCCACACTTGTCCATTTTAAGTTGGGTAGATTTTGCCACCTCAAAAACAACAAAACAACAACAACAACACACCACAGAGAAAACTAAAGAAAAGACAACACTGCCTACTTGGCGTGTCTGCCCTTTCCTGGGTGACCAAAATTCAGTGTGAAAATCAAGGCAGGGTGCTTGGCGAGTATGAAGGAGGAAGGGAACCTGACGATGGAGGTCATGGAGGTCCTCTGTGCTGAAAGAAAGCCAGCCCTTTCTTTCTCCTGTCAGCCCTTGGGATGGTCACTGGTGGCTACAGTGCACAAGCTGACATTTACAAGGGCAACCTGACCTTCACTGTAGCATCATTTCCAATGAACACTTTCTGTTTTCTGCCTCAAAGAAGCTCGCAAAGAAACTGTAAAATCTAGAGCACATGGATGCCAGAAAATGAAGGGGCTGTTTAAGGAACTCAGGGCAGGTCATAGAAGCAGTGTCTCAGCCCTCTGAAGGCTGAGGCAGGAGAAGCATCAGTCCCAGGCCAGTCTGATTTACATGGTAAGAGCTGTCTCAGAGACAATTCCACAGAATATGAGTGTGTACAGCTGGGTATGACTTTGAGTGGCCATCCAAGCATGCTCATATGTGTGTGAACGTATCAACATGAGGGTACACAGGGTACTGGGCCCACATTTGGTTCTGACAAGGAGCCCACTGATTTCATCCCAGGACACTGCTTTTGATTTCAGTGTCTCAAAAATAGGGAAAGCGCTGACTCCAGCCTGCTCCCATTTTCTCACCCATGGTCAAGCTGAGGCTTGTCAGGCTAGCTGAGCTAGATATGTGGGTCTGTGATGCCTGGTACAGATAAAATACATGATGTTTAGCTTGCCACTCAGGTGCTGGCCACCCAAAAGCACTTTTGTTAAAGTGCAATGGAGCCAGGTGCCATGGCAGAGGCTTACAGTGTCAGCATTCAGAGCTGAGGCAGAAGGCCTAAGAGTTCAAAGCCAACCTGGGCAACACAGCAAGACTAACCTCAGAAAATAGAGAATAACATACAAGAAGGAGCAGTGGGCAAACAGACTGAGTGGTAAGTGGGTGCTGAAGCAGGCCACTCAAGTCCCCTCAAGTCCCCTCAAGTCCTTTTGATAGGCAAAGGCTGACCATGGACACAAACCTCCTTCTCAATATCTCTGGTTCCTCAGGCATCCTGAGATTCAGTGTGGGCTCTCTCTCAGTTTGGGCTATTTGAAGACTCCCAACTTCAGCTCTTGCTAAAAAGCCACTTGAAATAAGCACAGTCTTCTATGGCTGGGAGGGGAGAGAGCAGGCACTGTTGGTGTAGCTCACCAAATTGACTCCTCTGGGCACCCTTCCTCTTGGCTGTGGTCCCAGTCTCTGCTGGGCTTACAGGTTTTAAAACCACTTTTGGGCTGAGGCTAGGAACTGCTTCTCAAAGCCTTCTGCTTCTGTCCTCAGAAGGGCAGGATTTGCAGGAAAGCTTTAGGGAGATGGTGAAAAGGATTCTATTTGTCTCTAACAAGATAGAGAAATGGGGCACAGATAGGCTCATGTGAGACTGAGATATGCGTTCCTTAGGGGCTCCTGGTTTGCAGCATTGACTCCTTGTGTCTCATCTCTAGAAATACAAGAGCCTTCTGCAGTTGGTCTGTGCTAGCTGGGGGTGTTCCTGCCTCATCCCTTATTGTGTGTTCCAACTGCACACATGTCTCTGTGCTCATCTGATGGTCCTTGTCTGCTCCTGCTCATCCGTGAGAACCCTGCGTTGCCACTTGGTGTCCCTAATGTCTGTGCACAGTAGGGACTCAGTACAAACCTGTCTGCCTAGAAAAAAACAAACAAAACAAACCAAACCAAAACACAACAACAGTGCAGTGAGGAAGATCCAGGGAGATAGCCTGAAAGAAGCCAGTGCAAAGGCCCATCTAGTAGAGGGATGTCTTGGGTCAGGTCTCAGGGCTATCTACGATAGGCAGCCTGTGCCACTGATGCCTGGGAGCACATGCTGAGCCCCGACAAGAAACTGAGAATGTCTATCCTGGGGGTACATGTGGGTCTTTCAAATCCAGGCAGGAAGTGTGAGGTTGATCTAGTGGGACAGAGCAATGCTCAGGTAACCCTCCCCAGCACCAGCCTGTTTCATCCTAAGCTTGGGGAAACCCTGCATCAAAAGAAAATGCGGCTATCTGGGGTCTACTGTGCTTTTGGGGACCCAGCAAGCATTCCTCCGATTGGGACCCACAAGGTCCAGCAGATGTACTCTATGAATCCCCAGGCCCAATGAGCGGGATCATGGCTTTGGAGCTGGGCCCAGAGGCAACTGTGTAAGACAGCTGTTACAGCCAGAATTCAAACTTTGACCTGGGTTCATGTCATACCCATGCAAGTACCCAGGAAAGACTCAGGGGCCATGTCCCATCCTCTGCTGAGTTATTTTAGAAGGCAGAGCATGGCTCTGGAGTCACCAAGGATAGGGTTCACATGTGAACTCACCTACCTGCTAATGGCAGTGTGATAGATCAGCCATGTCATCTGTCAAAACCGTTATGTTTTCCAATAGAGGAGAAGGTGTCTATGTAGTGTACCCAGGCAAGGTGCCCAGCCCTAGGTGGGTATCTACTGCGATGCCATGCAGGGTATACATGGGGCGAACATGTGTGGGCTGGGGAGGAACCCACACTGATCATGGGTGTCCATGCCATGAGAAATGCCAGAAAAGTATGAGAGCATTCTCTAGCTCTTTAAACCTTTTAGACTGACGTAATGCATGCCTGTTACTTGTGGGGCTTGGTGTGCTATTCTGACACATGTAACTACGTGTGGTCAAGTCAAGGGAAGAGGAGTGTCATCACTTCAGACATTCAGTGTGTCTCTGAGCTCTTCTGGCTATTTTGAAATGGATGGAAAGATATATTGGGACCCAGAGCTGCCCTATTGCATTACTCAGCCTAAGACCCTAACCCTCTCACCTAGCTGTATTTTTGTGATCTGACCCTTGTGCAATTTTGAGCATTCAACACCATGAAGCACATGCAGGAAACTAGTCTCTCACTAGCTAGATGACATCAATACTACACTTTCCTGACCAGGTAAGTGACCTTGCAGTGGGGCACTGGTGTCTCTAAGTCTCTGGAGTTTGTTCTCCTGGCTTCAAGAGGGCTGGCAGCTGCTCTGTATACTAGGAGCTCCCCAGCCTCTGGGATGTTCAGTAAATGTTAAGGTCAGCAATGCTCTGTGTGAGCACCATGTCCTTGAAACTACTCTGAGGACAAATGGCTCTTGGCAAGGCCACAGCTGTTCAGGCTGAGCAGCAGGCAGACATGGTGGATGATGTGGGGACAGGCTCCTCAGGTTCATCCAACAACCAGCTGATATTGAAGGACAGTGCCTCTAGCTGATGGTGGCAGCCCTTGGCAGTAGGCGATGCAGGGGCATCTTCACTGATCCCTAAATACTGGGCTGCCACTTAGAACTAAATTCTGACACCTGGTGGAGGGCCTCCCCTTCCCCCCTTTCCTCTATCCTTGGCTCTCCCCTAGCACAGCCTGATAGGGCATAGGCATGGGAAGAACGGTCTGGTTAGGCTGGGCCTTCAGGAACAAAGCATGTACTTGGTTCTGGGTGGAAGGGATAACTGGCGGTGGAGCACTAAGGTGGAGAGGCTCTTGGGCTCCAGTGTTCTCTTCTCAGGATCAACAGCTGAATCTCAGGGCATTTGATTTCTGTCCCCAGAATGAAGCATAGCTCTTGGCCAGGTCAGCTTCTCTGAAAGAGGTGAGCTATTGTGGAGTGGACAGAGGTGGATGGGTAGCCAGGCTTGGGCTTTTACTGTCATGTCACATAAAAAATGGGGCTGGTGTGCCTGCCGGGATGCAGAGAAAGGGAGCAGACACTTCAGAGGTCCTGACTATCGCTTATTCACTGGAACTGCCTGGCCATCTGACAGCTAGGCTAATGGCCCCTGGATTTGTGAGATGTGAAGACATGTTGTTGGCACTGGGCAGGGAATAGTGGGGATAGGGGCTGAGGGAGGCCAAGGCAGAAATAATGAGCACATATTGTAGGGTTGACTTGGACAATGTAAGGCTTCTCTTGGTTTTAATTTTAGGCAAAGAAGTGTGGCTACCTGCTCACTTAGATGTTGGCTCTGCCTCCTTAAATATGGAAGAAAGATGTCCATAGTTATGTGGAAAAGACCTTTCACCTGATGGGTACTGGAAAACAGGAGCTCTTGGGTTCATATGTAGCTATAGGAATGTGCATGTCAGCAAGTGTATGCATATGCTTATGCAGCCCTGCACTCCTGTCCTAGAGTAAGGTGAGGCCAGTACAGGGCTCCAGGAGCTGTTCTTTGCTCTGAAGCATGTTCCATCTGCATTTCCCTGCTATGTGCCTGGGAGGAGCATGACAACTGCTTGGATCTGTGCTACATTCAACTGAGTCCAGTTACTCGCCCCTAGTTTGGGGGCAGGGAGAGAGGCTGACATTGAGTTGGAAGAGGTTCCAGTAAGGTGGGCCTGAGGGTGACCTTTCTGCCTGGGCCTGTGACATCAACAGGAGATGGAAAAAAGTACCTTGTGGGTATAGCACAGGTAGGCTAGGATCTCCTGAGCCACAGACATGGGTACAAGGATGACTCAGTCCACTGCTGGGAGGATGAAAACTGAAAGTATCATGAAGGGAAGTACAGTATCCAGGAAGGCACTGGTCCCAGTGGCATGGCTATGGCACTACGGCCTTACTTTGACATGTCTCCCCCATGATTCCTCACTCCATAATTAAATACGAGGAGGACAGGTGCCCCATGAGATAAGCTGGGCAGGGTTCTGATCAGACCTTGGAGGCACAGAGAAGGGCATGGAGGGGGTACAGGCAGAGACGTGGGCACCCTGTGGATCATGGGGTAGTGCTTCTGTGTGTGAAGCCCTGCACTGACTGGGGACACTGGGCTTGTCCCTATTTTAGCCCTGCCCTTTTGGCTGCATTTGGGGCTGTGTTAATTAGGAACCAAGCCTGATGTCTGTTCCCTGGGACCTGATGCAGAACAGACAGAAGTATGTGTAAGCTGTATGTGCAATAGCCCAGGACAAGGGAAGTGGAGGAGGGCTGAGGCATCACAGTCTGACTCCACTTAAGGACTCTTTCTTTATGGCCTTTGAAGTGGTCTACGTTAAAGGACAGCAAGATGTAACACTGCTCTGTCTTAATAAACTCCCTTAGAGTGGTATGGTATGCTCCTAGTGGGACGTCTAGACAGTACCAAACACCCAAAGAAGAAACTTGCATGTTGGGGCACAACTAGCACGGATATGATTCCTCCTTCTCCCAGGGTTCATACGGCCATATCTGAGAGACTCCTCCAGGTGATACACACAGACGTGAAGACATGCCACTTAGGCTAGGCCTAGTTGGTATCATCCCCTACAGCTCTGTAGTCATGGCAGAGCAGAACAGACCAGCCAAGATAAGTGCTAATCCAGCTGGGGAGTGATGCCATCTTGCTAAACACTGAAGAACACCCTTGAGTGGCAGTGTCTTCCAGACACCATGAGGAAAAGCTGTGGGTGAGAGGTCATAGCAGACACAGGGGTCACAGTTTCCCCAAAGAGCCTCCCAAAGTCCCCCATGTCTCATGGCCAATACCTGCTGGGCTCTGAGTTGCTGAGGGTGTAAAGGAGGAGCCTCCTGAATCACAGTGGCTGGTGCTCCCGCTGCCGCCAGGGCTCCCACTGGCAGATGGTGGTGATGGTGATGACAGGGATGGAGAGCTATGCTGGTTTATGCACTGGGCCACAGCAAAGCCTGCAAGACAGCAGTGTGCAACGTGATTAGTTAGAAGAGTTCTGGCAGGCTTTGCAGAAGGAGCTCTACCCCCATACTGACTTAGAGGCTATGGGAGGCTAGATTTTCCTCAGAGGCAACATGGGGTCTTCAGTGTTAAGACCACCCTACCGGTCTTGTCTCTCTGTGATTCTTGGCCTCTTTTCCAGAATGAGCTGATCCCTCTGGTCAGAGACTAACCTGGGCATGTGTGAAGCTGCTTTAAGAAACAGGTCCACTGACCAGACCAGGTTGACTGTTGACTGGCTATACTCTGAGGCTTCAGGGCTCCCATTGAAGGTAATACAGAGACCACCATCCATGGGGCTAAATTTTGGGTCTCACTCTGACAAAGGGAAGGTGAGCTGGGAAGTCTCTAGGAGAATGGAGAGCCCAGATTCTCCCCTCTCAGAACCCACTCTGCCTCAGCAGTCCTGGCAGGGCAGGTTTAGAAGTAATGAGGGCTCTGCTAAAGAGCTCAGGGCCAGTCAGCAACAGCCCACCCTAGAGCTACTCATACACGAGCAGGCTCTGTGGTTTGTGGCCCCACAACATGCGGAGGGGCCTAGTCCTCAGTCTTAGACATACTTAGCTCTGTATGGTGAAACCCACCTCTTAGTAGCAGGTAAAGGGCTACTGTGGCCTCTCAGTCTGTTTTTGGTTGCTTACTCTCATGGCCTCAACCGTGGGGGAGATGTAGAGCTGTGAGACTTCCCAGCAGGCCTTAGCTCAGGAAGAAGGTACATGGCAAATGCCGATTAAGAGTGTTCTTTGCTGACTGGAAAGACGACTCAGCAGTTATGAACACTTGGCTACCCTTGCAGAGGACCCACATAACAGCTCAGAACCCGACCTGTAACTCCAGTTCTAGAAGATTTAATGCCCTCTTCTGGCCTATGTGGATACCAGGCAAATACTAAAATAAAAATAAATCTTAATTTTTTAAAAAGCGTCCTTTATGCTGGGTGTGGCAGCACACATCTTTAATTCCAATACTCAACATTCATGAAGCAGAGGCAGGCAGATCTCTAAATTTGAGGCCAGTTAGGTCTATATAGTGAGTTTCTATATAGACTATATAAAGGTCTATACAGTGAGAAACCAACAACAAAAACAAAAAAAAGTGCCTCTTTATGACAAAGCTCAGTCTTGCTGGACAGCCCAGGAGCTGTATTCCTGCCTTACGCCTTCCACAGGCTGGGTTCCAAGCTCTTACATTCTGCTCTCCCAAAGGGCTGACACATCTGATTTTGTTCTCTGCAAACATGGAGACTCCCAAGGAATAACAGCTCAATAATCCCAGCAGTTCATGCAGGCTCGGCCACAGGGGCTGGTGCACTGCAGACCACATCGCCTCTCCTCCCTCCCTCAGCTGCACAGGCTCAGGGCAAGTCCTTTGGCAGAAGGGCACCTCTCTCAGTGAGCACACTCAGCACAGCTGGCCCCAACCTCACTCTGCCTCTCCTGCACTGCTGGCACCTCCAGGGTGGTACCGTCTCATGGGCTGGGTCGCAGACTGAATAACAAGAGAGAGCAAGAGGAACTCCAGCATTCATCTCTCAACGTCCTGGCTTTGGATGCCATGTGACCAGCCGCCACATCCTCTGGTTACGGGTCTTCCCCACCATGTGGACTGTATCCCCTCAAACCACGAGCCAAAATCAACTTTCCTTAAGCTGCTTGTCACAGCAACTAGAGAAGTGACTAACTCATCAAGTAAAGTCTTAGGGGGATAAAATTTTGGTTTCAATGTGGCCTGGCTACACAAAGTAGAGTCATTGCCATGAAGATCATGTAGTCTGAAATGCAAACTGCATCTTCTGTGAGAGCAGTGTGTTTGGCCTCATGCAGTACAAAGGATAGAGCACATTGCTGCTTCTGGGGAAGCTAGATCAGTGTGTGTGTGTGTGTGTGTGTGTGTGTGTGATCCAGAGAAGGTCCTGCACCTCCTCTCTTCATCTACAGAGAGGACCTCCTGATCTACACACCTCTTCCCTGTAGATTCAGTAGGACCCTACACTTGGCCAAGGAACAGCAGTTTACATACTAATAATGTTCATGAGGAACTACTGTTATCAACTGACAAAGCTCACTGATATTCTGGGCCACACTCTAGGGACAGGTGGCATGTTTCATGGCAACAGTAGGTGGATAGGGCCTGGTGGGCAGTGCTTCTTGCCCTCATCTACTGTCTACCTCAGATGGCTGTTACAGAGGGAATGGCATTGCACCAGGCTCTAGACCTCAATGAGGCCACACTGAGAGGTTGCCTGGCGGGCAGGAAAAGCCAGTAGAGGAAACACGGAGAACATCTGGCAGATCCCAACACTGCTCAAGACAATTCCACAGGGACAATCAGCCACAGCTTCACACAGCGAACTTTATAGCTGCTTACTTCTTAATCACCTACAGTGGTAAACCCCTGATTTTATAAGCTATTTACTTGCCTTGAAAATGAATTACCCCATAACAAATCAAAATGTCAGGTGGCTTTTCCCAAGCTACCAATTTATCATATACACACAAACAAGCTGAATGTTGGAAAAGTGTTGGGACTGAGCCTTGTGTGCTCCTGAAGAGATGAGTGACAAAGCTGCGTACTGAACTCATGCTATTGGTGTGTCTGTCCCAACTCTGTCATATTTTGTAGGATCGACTGAGTAGAGGTGCTGAAGATACGTTTCCCTCCTCTGCTGCTACTCCAATCTCTCATCCTTCTCGATTCTTCCTGCATGTTGCAGTTTCAAGGTTCTCTCTTCTACAATGACTTGCCATATTGGGGGATTGTGTGGGCACTGGAAAGAACTGCAGATGAATGCCATGGCTAAGCCCTGGGCCTCAGAATTCTTGCTTCATCTCAGCAAGGCAGTTCTGGATGAGCTAACTATGGCAGGGATGCCAGAGGTCTTCTGGGCCTGTGTCAACCTATAAGGGCTGCCAAGACTTTGCAAACACATAGACAAGCCAGAGATCATGGGATGGGTAACAGGCACACAGGCTCCCCAGGGTCTTCTCTGCTGAGGACAAGCTTGGCTCACCCTGTGTCTGTCTCAAGAACAGATCTCAGATCTCAGATGTGTACCAAAGGCTGTGGGGACTTGCAAGCCTGTGGACCCAGTCTGTGTCTAGGAACTGAAGTCACTGATGGTGGTGGAAATGGGGCATGAAGGTGGCTTTGGGGTCCACATGCTGATGAAAGGGTGTGATATGGGGAATGGTTGAGACAAGGATATGTCCAGTGCTGGAGAAAAGCCAAAGAATTCTGACAGGCAAATGATGAAAGCCTCTACTGTTGGCAAAAATGCTGGCAGAAAGCAAGATTAAGTGCCCAGGAAGTGCTCAAGACGTGGTAAGTGAGGAAAGGTTAGCAAAAGCATGCCCACATACTCCTACTTAAAAAAAAATCCAGGTGTTCCTCATCCCTGTCCAGAGCAGACAGAGCAGCTGCAGGGGCTGGGGCTACGAGGGAATGGGTAGGTGTAGAGTAGGGAGGGTTTCATTGTGTTTTAGAGACTTGTCTGAGTTGTCCAAGCTCTTTACCATCAATTACTATTATTATTACTAAATAAATACAGAGTCTGATGTATCTCTGACTGGCCTCTAGCCCACTAAAAACAGCTTAAAATACCTCAAACTTCTGATCCTCCTGCCCTACTTCCCTAAGTACTGGGATTACAGACACATAGCGTGCTCACTTTATGTGGTGTTGAGATTAAACCCGGGTTCGGGCATCCTCGCCAACCACACTACATCCCCAGCCCTGTGAATATCATTTCAATCCAGGAAAGAAGAGAGTAGAGGAGAAATAGGATGCCTGGAAGCCGGGCACACTCAGGCCCAGTGGGACCACCCACTATGAGCTGCTCTGATCTCCCAGACTCTCTCCTTGGAAGCTCTCAGGACCTGGACAAACTTTCTCAGAGTAGGGCCAGGCAGGTGGACCCATGCCAACAGCAAGACATTCCCTTGCTTTGCAGGATCTCTGAGGTACATGGGGCAGCCTGGAGCCTTTCTGTCTTCCTCTGCTCCATTCTACCATGGTTCTGGGACTGTGAACTAACGAGCAGCTCTCTGGCATTTGTCAAGAACAAAATTACTACTAAAAGGTCAGCCTTCTATTTTAAAAGCAGTCACAGAGGGAATGCTGGGCGTGGAATCAGAATCCCAGGTTCGAGTCCAAGTTCTGTGCACTCTGGCTTTGAGACCTGGGATGAGTCCCTTCCTCTGTTTATGTCTGCCTTTGGCACTCGTAATAACCAGGTTCACGAGATTTCAGAACCAGAGCTGGTGATGGCGGTCTACAGGGTACTAGCTAGCTTATATTTCATCTGTGTTTGATATTGGACTAGTGTTTAGACCCTGAGAGATTCCACACACAAATCTGTATGTCTGCCTTATAAAACTCAAAGATCAGGCACTGCAGGGCCTTGTCCTGACAGAGCTGTAGCTAGAGCGAGGTGACAGAGCTGCTCTTTTCCTTCAGACCTGACTTACTATCCTGTGACAATTCAATGTTATTTCTGTCCCCATTCTTACATTCCTAGACAAGTCCACAGGGTGCTCTAACCCATAGAGACACTGAACCACAGAACAATCATGTAGAAATGGACCCTCTCTTCCAGCAGCCTAGGCTGCACACAGTGCTCTGTATTTGCTGGGACACTGCTGCAGACTCCAGTTCTCCTTTGCTTCCTTTCTGTCTGCACAGGTCCCTTCCTGGCCCTTGAGGGCTTATGTGCTGGCTGCCAGCTTGGGCAAAAGTTCTCTCTCTAAACCCTACAAAGTCTGTCCTGCTCAGGGAATACATGAGAAACTTGACTGCAAAGATCTCTAGTATTTTGTGTAACAACTTTCATTATTTGAGCAGCTAGCACCTTTTGGACATGTTTCAGATATTGCTAGCTATTTCCTATTATTCATTTTCTCCCTTTACCTGCAGTTACAGAACCTGGCCACTAGGCATGGCCATGTGACTGGAGTTG